TGGCAAGTGTGACTAGCAAGACCTGCCTGTCTACCACAACTAGAGCATGTGATTTCAGGATACTTCTTGCCATGTATATAGTATGCTTCTTCTCAAACATTCAGCTCTCTATATTTGTGCAATCACTTCTTCATTCCCATTCGCTTCCTGACACCTCCCCAACCCCCTATTTTTTCCATGAATCTACCTCAATATCTGAATCCTTCATGGCCCACATATCGACATCTTCTACCCATTATAATTCACCTTTGAGTGTGTCCTTGGGGACTCTACTATCCTCTGTTCTCTAAGTGTCACCCAGCCAGATGAGCACTGAGAAGAATGCTTTCCAATACGTCAATGTTTGTGACCTTGTCCTGTCACTCAATTCCAGTATTCTTCCCCTGCATATATGTACCAAATAATAAACAACACATACCAAGAAATGTCAGTTTTTAAAAATGTCTCAATTTATATATTAGATGCAAAACAAATGTAAGCTACATGAATAAATTTCCTAAGTCTAAAGGCAAACAGACTCAGTAAACATCTGAAGTATCAAGACAAAGCTTCATGCTTGTTCTACCTCTGATTAAAACCATGAAGTATCTGCACAAATCTTGAGGGTCTGGTTAAAAATATGCAGTTATACACACAAATAACAGGAAGTTTAACTATAACAATATATTAGAACCGCCTGATATGACAATGAAATATAGCTTTTTTGTGTTAATCTTCTTTTTTTGCACTCACTGGCTGTAAACTCCAACGGAAAGTTCTGGTTGGTCATCCACTTATGGACTTTAGTCCTGTTCCAGAACCTGAGCGTTGCCTGCATATCCGTTTAACAGATCTGACTTATTTGTATGCAGTCTGTTGGTTACTCCCCTCCGGCAAATGCACTTCGACTTTGAAGAAAGCTCCCAATAAGTCGACTCTTGCGACATGCTTGTTGGGGAGGCAATGGGTCTATTCTTGTTTCCCCTAGTGGAGCCCAGGAACCCAAAGAGGCAGATAATGTCAAGCTTTCAAGCACAGGAAAGGAGCAAGTATGGGGAAACCCGATCGCGGTGATGTTGAAACCTCGACTACGACTAAGACTACGCATGAGAATTCATTGTTTAATAATGAGGCATCATTATTTTTAATGCATTCTATTGCTTTTTTTTTTTTTTTATATATATAATTTCATTAAGCCTGAGAATTTAGGGGTCATCTGGATAAAATTGCCATGGACTGTGCACACCGACATCGGTTTTTTTTGCATGAAAGGAAAAAAATACAATAAATCCCATTATCTTTGTCTTTTTTGCATTCACCGGCTGTAAACTCTGGCGGAAAGTTCTGGATGTTTGTCCACTTCTGGACTAGTCCTGTTCCAGAAACTGTTGCGTGGACATCCGTTTTACAGGTCTGGCTCATCTGCATGCAGACTGTCTGTTTTTTGCCTCTTAGTCAGATGGACTTCCGACTTCAAGGAAAGCTCCCAATAAGTCTACTTCTATGACATGCTTTTCGGCAGGCAGTGGGTCTATTCTTGTTTTTCCCCACTGTGGGGCCGGGAACCCACACAGGGAGGTCCCATTATCTGACAGAGAATTAGAACCCAGGTCTTCTGAAAGGGATCCTATCCACCCGTCCAGATGCTTATCTCTCATTAGTTAATGAGCCCCTAACAAAATCAACTAAACAGAGTTAAAAAAATCAAACAAGAAACAAAAATATTTACTTTAATCATCTGTCAAAGACACACATATAATCAACTACTGTTCTTTTCAACCAGCTCTCAAATTGATAAAAACATTGTGACAGATTTCATCGTACTCATAACTCATTTGACAAAAACAAACTGCATGCATACATGATACAGATACCACTGACTAACTTGACAATCTACAGCTTTCACCCATCAAGCCTTGCATTAATATCCCCATTCATAAAAAAAGATTAAATTAAACAGAAAGACTTGGGGATAAAACAAAAACTGTGGTTTTATGTTCTACCAGATAGTGTCCCATTCTTTAGCAAACAAGAGCACCAGGAATCTATCAGTGGCAACTGACATTACTACAAATGTTTCAGGCTGATTGTGAGCAGTGTCTCTTTCTTCTTCTGCCTTCCTAACTCCCAATGCAGCATAGGCCCTCAACTAATTCATGCCATCCCTATTTTTTAACTTTTCTCCCTTACTTCTCCATGTTTTTTTTTTGTTAGCGTGTTTTCCTTTATTTCTTTGTCTCTGTGGGTGTACAGAGTAATCACCATTTATGACATGCTTAACTCTTTCAGTCCCTGGTGGTTTAACATCAGAGGCCCAAGGGGTAGTAAAGCGAGATGTAAAATCAGTGAATTTTGCGTTTATTAGGTGAATATAGGAACCTATGACCATATAATGCGTTCTCTGAGACTGAAATGGGAACCCCGGAAACCATACGGGGGTGACAAGAAATTTCAAAATCCTGATTTCATACTCATATGAACAAATACAAATAACTATAACACATATAGATCCTGGGACCAGAATACGAAATCATTTCATGTACAAATACATTTTGCTTTAATCATATATCAGTTTATTAACTGCTGATAGAGACGTCTGGCGATCTCTCTGGCAAACCTCTACACCCCAAGGTAGAAGAGGAGCGACTAAGTAAGTAAGTATATATCAGTTTATTGCTTTCTCTATTGTTCAGTAAAGTTATCTTTACCACACATATATCACAGAAAGACATTGATAGATTTAGGCAACATATATAGATTTTTTCTTCACTCATCTTAAAGATGGCCACTGGCAAATTATGGTGTGGTTTACAGCTAGGCTACAAAATCTGCACCTTGAGGGCTAAACACATCCGATTTCAGCAAACCGTTAGTTAGTTGGCTTTTACAAGGCTTCCGGACTATTATGGAGGATAGGTTGGCAGCATGTTTAGCTTCAGTGTTATTTTTTTTGCCTCTGACAGCTCTTTGTTAATGCAGTTTCTACATATGAATGGAAGTCTACGGTTTAACTGCCTAAGCAACTGAGTTAAATGAATAGTGCAGCACCGTAGGCTGTTTTTAATGTGCCTTTCATTTGTGCAGCTGTTGTGTCGTGGGTAGCCGGTTTACGTGTGAGATGGTGAAATATCCTATGTAATAATGTTACATGTGTATGGCCAACTTATCACGACCGACTACTTCCATCAATAACAAACTGTGTTTCTAGTAGCGACTGTTGGCTTTGCACCTCCAGCAACTGCCATGTGCATTATCTACACGCATATTATTTTTGGACTGTGCCAGGACTAATTGTTTGTTCACCGTTTTTTAAATAATACAGTGAGAGGAATTTCATCTGATTTTCATTGGCACAGGAGCGGAGCGTGTATGGGGTGAACTGATTGCAATGAAGTTGAAACCCTGAACACAGCTACAACAAGACTGATAAGGAACAGAAGGTTTATTTCTTTTCTCAAAACTGGGGCTCCGGAAGCCACACGGGGAAGCTAATGTTCTGAAGCCTGGAAACTACTTAGATATGCAGGAAGTACTTCAGAAACTGACATCAGTGGAAACTTCCTTGACCTGAATCCTCCAGTCTGAGGTCCACAACTTTGACATCAAAAAGTACTTCAAGAAATGTCATCAGTGGAAACATACTTGACTTGAATCTTTCACTGTGTTATCCACAATTTAGATATACAAGAAGTATTTAAAAACCTGACATTAGTGGAAACCTCCTTGACTTGACTCCTCCTGTTTGTGCTCCACAGCTTGGACATCAAGAAGTACTTCAAGAACTGACATCTTTGGACACTTTCATGACCTGAATCCTTCAGTCTGTGGTCCAAAACTTGGACATAGATACACAAGAAGCAGTGAACGAACTGACGTAAGCACCACCAGTAGGTCAGCCCATACTTGATGTTCTTGAACTGCTTGCCCTTGTCAAGGATCTCATGCCAAAGAACTGGCAGCTAAAACATACAGAATATTTGTGATTAGTGATGTCTAGTTATAGCTGTGAATTGAAATAATTTTCATCAAAGAGCAACTGATGCAATGGTCTGGACATCTGATCTCTGCCCTTTTTCAGCAAAAATGTGTTGTTCGTCCATTTCTGAACTCTGGTCTTGTTCCAAAACTTGAGTTTTACGTGCACACCATTTTATAGGTCTGGCTTATTTGTAAGCAAACAGGTGATTTCTCTCCGACTCGGATGCAAGGTCCAAATATGACGGGTGAAGCAGTACAAAATGTAAACCATGCAAGAGCTCACAGTGGCTACACTACACAACAAAGAACAGGAGCTGGCAGCATAAACAAACAGAGAAACATATTAAGAAAATGAGCAGAGCATTTATGAGTACGCCTGACGTGCAATGAAAATAATCATGTAATGTGCAGTGAATAATGTGTGTGTGTGTGTATATTAACAATGGCAATGGTCAATCGACCAGTATGGTCACTGCCAAGAAACAAAATTTAATGGCAAGGCAAATTACCTTCTTCAAAATGCTAAAAACTGGCATGAGTTCACAACTCTTCAGATAAATGGTGTAAATGGGTGTTCCACCGGAGCAGTCCCGTATGGTAGGGAGGGCCATGTACACCAGCTGACTCCAGATCATCATCAGACAAACCTTTCAGTGAGAACAAGAATGTCAATGTGTATATGTATAACTTGTGTTCTTATATACATGTGAAACACAGACAATAGGTAGACAAGCTGAAAAACATTTGCCGGTTTCTGAAATGGAGGCAAAGAATATCTTGGAGGGTTAGAAAAACAAACAAAGCCGTCCTTATCTCGACAGATGAAAGTCATAAACTTGTTAGAAAAATTAGATGTAGATCAGTAACCATATGATGAGAAGGAATAGACTTGAGAACCTGGTAACTGGCAAGATTTATAGAAAAAGAGCAAGAGGAAGGCAAAGAGATAAACACATGGACGGCCTGACCAGATGGATGGGGTGTGACAAAAACACTGATGTGATCCGTGATTCTGGTGATCGTGTGAGATGGCGAAACATGACAGCACGGCATATGATGCTGATGCTATATTTATGCATAAACTTACTTCGTGTTTTGTTAGCAGATTCTATGATCTGCGTAAGACAGCGTCCAAACTCTTCAATGATCATCCTCTCTTGGACAACAGGGGGCATCTTCATCCTTTCTGCCTCCTCTGCCTGTGCCAGTAAACATGCCGAGGTGGCTTCAGCCACATCTGCAGTTATCAGGGCAAATGGCAACCTGGTGGAACATTTAGCAATGGAGAATTATCAGTACATATGGCAACCTATAACAAAACTTAGCAAAATGAAATTATCAGGGCCTATGGCAACCTGTCCCAACAATTAGCAATGGAGAATTTTCAGAGTAAACAGCAAAATGTCACATCATTTAGCAATGGAGAATTATCAGTACATTTGGCAACATGCCACAAAACTTAGCAACATGAATTTATCTGGGCCTTTAGCAACCTGTCAAAACATTTACAAATGGAGAATTACCAAAACAAGGAGCTGCAATAGCACAGTATTGAGACACTCACTTGCTGACCTGACTGTCTTGAGTTCAAATTCCCAGAGATACATATTTCTTTTCTCAAAAACTGATACTGGCTCGCAGGCTGACCCAGCCTTAAATGTGTACCAGGTAATGTCTTGGGGAAGTAAAGACAGCCGGGCGTGATGTTGACCACATCACCCAGGAAGTGCCGATTCTTCCTCTCTAATGCTGCTATTCAAACCCCAGTCTCTTCTTGTGGTTTTAGCCACCTTGAGGAGACAGCCCATTTCACGTTTTGTTATTTTCTGTTCTAGTGCCCTATTCATGGTCTATAAGGATGAGGAAGGTCTATTCTTTTGTCCCCTACAAAATGAGGCCCCAGCACCCACATGCAGACAGGTTTGTCTGAAACCTTAAATGTAGTCACATGAAACATTTTTCAACTTGTCAGACACGCCACGATTCATCTGGAAGTCTCTATCTCCAAACATCTTCACCGTCATCTCTTTGAGACTCCAGAGACCAGTCACAGCACTGCAGCGGTTGAACAGATAAAGAACAAATGGATCGCAGCTTTTTTATTCGTTAGCGATGTCCGTAGCTTTAGCCTTGCGAGCCCGACTTGTAATTCCAACAGGCCGCGATCAAAACCCATTGCTAGCTGCGTAGACTTTTATCATAGTCGATCCAGCCTAAAATGGGTACCAGAATGGTTGTCCTGGGGAAGTAAAGACGGCCAGCGCAATGCTGACCACATTACCCACCCAGTGCCGACTGGTCTGTAAAAATATGGGATGCTCTTCCTATATGCCCGATGCACCAAAGGTGTGAAAAGAGATCCTTACTTTTTTTTCTTTACTTCTGCCGTGTTAGCCCCCAAAAGGGGTAATTTCTACAACACCAAATTAGTGCCCAGTGACAACATGCTTGCTTGGAGGCAGTGAGTTTATTCTTTTGTCCACCAAGTCTGGGGCCCTGGACCCCATGTAGGGAGTCTATTCTTTTGTCCACCAAGTCTGGGGCCCTGGACCCCATATAGGGAGTCTATTCTTTTGTCCACCAAGTCTGGGGCCCTGGAACCCATGTAGGGAGTCTATTCTTTTGTCCACCAAGTCTGGGGCCCTGGACCCCATATAGGAAGTCTATTCTTTTGTCCACCAAGTCTGGGACCCTAAGACCCATATAGGGAGTCTATTCTTTTGTCCACCAAGTCTGGGGCCCTGGACCCCATGTAGGGAGTCTATTCTTTTGTCCACCAAGTCTGGGGAGCTGGACCCCATATAGGGAGTCTATTCTTTTGTCCACCAAGTCTGGGACCCTGGAACCCATGTAGGGAGTCTATTCTTTTGTCCACCAAGTCTGGGGCCCTGGACCCCATATAAGAAGTCTATTCTTTTGCCCACCAAGTCTGGGACCCTGGAACCCATATAGGGAGTCTATTCTTTTGTCCACCAAGTCTAGGGCCCTGGACCCCATATAGGAAGTCCATTATTTTGTTCACCAAGTCTGGGACCCTGGACCCCATGTAGGGAGTCTATTCTTTTGTCCACCAAGTCTAGGGCCCTGGACCCCATATTGGGAGTCTATTCTTTTGTCCACCAAGTCTGGGGCCCTAAAATCCATGAAGAAAGAACACATGCATCAACAGCAAACCTTTTCAGAAGATGTATTTTCTGCATGACATAATTCATTCATGCATTCAGTAGCATGTCCCTCGCGGAACCTCGCTGCCATAACAACCCTCCGGAAAACCTTCCTATCATGAGCAAGATGTCCTGCGTCTGATACACCCATCTGGAGATCATCTGCCACATCCTGCACCCATCTTCTCCTTGGCCATCCTCTTCCTCTCTTCCCAGGCATATACCCCTCCATTATTGTTCTCTCTAGACTTCCATGACGTTTCAAGTGACCAAAATATTTCAATTTTCTTTGTTTTATTGTCTTTACTAGCCAACCCTCTTCAATATTCAGCTCTTGAAGTATGGATGCATTTGTTCTTTTCTCTACCCAAGATATTCTTAGAACCTGTCTGTAACATTTATATTCAAATGCATTTATGCGCTTTTCCGCTTGTTTAGTAAGTGTCCAGGTCTCACAGGCGTATGTTGCAATGGGAAAGATGCATGCTCTTAAAAATCTGACCTTTGTAATTCTATCTGTACAATTCCATAATTTATTCAGTTGTTTTAGTCTTTGAAGAGCAATTGATAGTCGCCGTTTAATTTCTTTCATTGTGTCACCATTGTTGGTAACCAGTGACCCAAGATATTCGAAATTTTCCACCACTTCCAATCTTTCCTCATTAACATATATTTCCTTCTCCATGGCAGTTTTGTTTGTATGCATTATCTTTGTTTTTGCTATGTTAAGAAATAAGTTATGATTTTCACTATTTCTTTGGAGTGAGGTTAATAAGTTTTCTAACCATTTTGTGATGTTGATAGTAATACTGTATCATCAGCATAACGAATTTCTGGTATTTCATGACCACCGATGTTTAGGGCATCATATTGTTCCTTGTTTATATCATCTCTTACATTTCTCATTATATTTTCGGCGTACAGGTTGAACAAATACGGTGACAGCACACATCCCTGACGGACTCCTTGCTTGATGCCAAACCAGTCTGATGTCTCTCCATCTATTCTGACTGCTGCTTGTTGGTCTTGATAGAGCATTTTAATGAGCTGCACTATATGTGATGGAAAGCCCATATTCCTCATGACTCATGACATAATACAGATATGAATTACAGACCACTTTATATATAGTAAAAAAAATCAGTGTGTTTTTTCTTTTTCTGAAAAAGTGAAGAGATGCTGACCAAATTGTTAGACCACTGTGTTCTCATGCACAAGACCTGTGTTCAATCCTCAGTAAAGAGAGGGGAAAAAAAATAACTGGCAGAGGAGGAAAAGAAGGGGGGTTTAAAAAAAATCTTAACCAGCAGGGTTTATAGGTACTGCACCTGTCATGTGGCCTTAAATAATCAGTCTCACTAGCCCCCTGTCTGACATCACTACAAGTGGTAAATACTGACAGTAAAGATAGACAGTTTTTAACTGAAGTGTTAACCGGGTGAGTAAAGCTATGTCACAAAACCTCAATAATTTTTCAGCTGAATATTCTATTAAAATTACCCCCCCCCCCCCCCCCCCCATATAGAAAACCATCAAACTTCCCTGTGTGAGTTCCAGGGACCATTTTGGGCAGTAACCGATAGAAACCCCTGCAAATGTCATAAAAGTCATTAGGGAGTGTCTCCTTGGAAGTCAGAGTGCATCTGCCCGAGAGTCAAGGAACCAACAGTCTGCATATAAGCCATCTCTGTAAAACATATATGCATGTACACCTCAAGCCCTGGAACAATATCAAAGTTCAGAAATGGATGAATAACCAGAACTTTTCATCCGAGTTTACAGTCAGTGACCACTAAGTAGAAGAAGACTGAACAACTACCAAAAACCATACCGCTCTCCGCTGGTTGTTGAGGCAGGGGGCCGTGTGGGAACACAAGAAATCTGCGACGTCAGTTTTGTTTTGGCTGCCGTCTGCTGCTGCACCCGCATGTCTGCAGCGTCTGCTAGATGCATCAGTGTTTTGCGATCTGGGCTCTCCTCAAAGTTTTTGCACCCAATGCACTTGCAGTAATTGGAGCACATAATTTTGGCCTAAGAAGAGATCAAATTTTAAATGTAGAAACTGGAAGAAGACTAGGTCTGAAACCGGTCAAACAATTTATTAAAGAGCAATAGATGAGATGGTTTGGCCATTTGATGAGAATGCCCTGGTACCAACTGCCAAAGAGAGCCATGCATGCTGAATAAATAACATAACATAGCTCTTTACCCCTTTGGGTTGCGAAAGTGTATCAATGGAAGCACAAATACATAAAACCTGCAATCTTTCTGTCTTCCGCTTGAAGAACAAGTGTCCATTTCTTGATGATGTCATTCCACTTCTTCTTTGCCCTCCTCTTCTTCGACTAGCTCCCAATGTTCCTTAAAGTAGTCTTTGCAATCGAATCATGTATTACCCGAAATCATGTCTTACCAGCTTGCGATGTTTCACCACTGCCAAGAGAGGCTCCTGATACTCTGCAAATTTGTATATTTTGTCTCTGACATATTTGTTAGTTACAAATAGAAATTAAATAAGACACAGAGCAATGGGAAGACCAAGCAGAAGATGAAATGATGGCACCAAGAATGGACTTGAAGGAATGAAAACAAGGCATCATACAATTATACAATGCACTGGAAAAAAAAAAACTTTATTTTCAAATGGTTACAAATTGGGCAGACAGGTCTATCTTCAATTCGGCTCTTCCAAACACTCATCCTGCACACAGCAATTGTATTGTACCTGTAAAGCATGTTTTGTTAATATAACAGTAGGGTCGCCGTGGCCAAGTGGTCGCGCCGTTTGCCTCACGCTCTGAAGGTTGTGGGTTCGTTTCACGCCTACCTGTTCATTTTACGGAGATCGATGCCAGAGCTACAGAGTTCATACTGTGTGCAATGCTCTCAGCAGGCGACTAGCCATTCAGCGGAGAGAGATCGAGCTATATGGGATAAAACCCGGTTGCAATTAAGTCGATTCCTCCGACTTTCACCTTTTATTGGTATGCATATGAGTATAAAGTAAAAATAACAGTCCAAAGAACCTCCTTACATCCCTAACCAACATTCTGATAAAGTAACCGAAAAAAACGAAGAATAAGAGGAAGACATTTTACCCTAAATTTAATAGTTTACAGCAGAGCCATTCAAGTATGCTTACTAAGGTGACAAAATGATGGAAATGGGAATCATCACAGGCCAGAGGCCTGACCCCCAGCATTAAAAGATGATCAAGTCTATTAAACTGGAAGGTGATCCATGGGCCTCTGCAGGCCACCAGTTGAATATTCCCGGCTTACAGCCACACTGCCATACATTAAATAATGTAAACACAAACAATACATTGCATAATTTAATGCCTGGCATATTTCACTGTATCTCATCAGGTGCCGGCTACAGAGTTCTATCAGCGTCTTACGAAGACCAAAAATAATTTCTTTTCACTGAAATACTAAATCACATTGCCATTGTGAAGTTAGGCTGTCCATCTCTCCACTGGAAATTTAAAACCAGCCATGTGACTATCGTATGTCAAGATCCATGTAGTGGTTTGGATTGAGTAAATATAAGCAAGATACAAATAATGTGATTATCATATGTCATGATCCATGTAGAGGCGGAGACTGAGTAGATATAAGACTGCCAGCAAAACATCAAATATGTGGTTAGCACAGTACACACCACAGAAGGTATGTGAATTACGTGAGATAATGGAAATAAACCAGGATGTGAGGAGAGTAAAGTCAGTTTATCGACCAAGCATCCAAGTGGATGGTCTGAAAAACTACAATGTGGCAATACCCTAGGGGTAGAGTAAAAATAGGAGTTATTGTAACAGTGACAGTATAACTATCAGCAGTGGTGACATTTTCACAGGTAAATTAACTGTGCTTATTCTAACAGAAAATATAGGAAATGAAAGGTGCTAGGTCTAACGAGGAAAGATCAACTTAATAACAACAAAATGAGGAGGAGAGTCTGCACAGAACCAATACTGAACTTTATAAGTTAAGTAAAGATCCCTTTTCACGCCTTAGGCGCATCTTGCATATGGGTGGATAATGTGGTCAAGAAAGCCAACCTGGTAACCGTTTTAGGCTGGGTTGACCTGCGACGCCCCATACCATTAAAAAAAAAACCATGCAGCTAGCAGTGGGTTTTGATCGCTGTACTTTGGAATTACGAGTCAGACTCGCAACGCCCAAGAACTGAACTTTATAGGTAGACCTAAGTCAAATGGTTTTGCCATGTAGCAAGACTGGCAACAGACAGGGCATCACAGAGAGCAATGTTATATCGATACAGCATAAACTGAGCCAGAGGTTGACCACGCAGAAGATGGACCGCAAAAATATCTTTATACTTTATACGATGCAGAAAAAAAAGGGCACGTTCCAGCCCTGACACTACGAGGCATTCCAGGAGTAGAGAAAAGAAGAAGCAAGGAAAAGAGAAGATTCTAACAAAGTACATGGTTATAAAAGAACTATGTTGCTGCATGTTATTCCTTGCAACCTGGGACAACCTGTTTTTAAAGATGTCTAGTGGTCAATAGTCAAAGTTACAGTAATGTTTTACACCTCAGCACAGGTCAGTAGTCCAGATAATTATGCCCAGATCATTAATGGAGAAAACGATCGACTTCACTGCACAAGGTTTAATCCCATATGGCTCATTTTCTCTCAGCAGAACAGCTAGCTGCCTGCCGAGTGCATCGCAGAGCACGACCTCCGGCGACGATTCCCAGGGATCTCTGTAAAAACTGCAGTCGCGAACTGAACTACGTGATGAAACGAACAAACAACCTTGACAACACGTGGCCAACGTGGTGTTGCATTGTGAATTGTAGATTTTAAAAATGGGGCGTGGCCTGTCGTCGCAATATTGGTGGTGCCCTTATGTGATTAAAAACTGATCGCGTGTGCACCTGCTGATTTGTTGGTTACCTCTGCTACCGTCATTGATAAACTGCATTTTTAATGTCGGAATGTTTGTGTTGCCACTTCTGATGGCTACCGTATCCTCCTAATGTGTGTGTATGCTAGTGCATATGCTGAGACATCAGTCTGTTAATCTCTCCACAAGGGACTGTGATGAACATCCTGTATGTTTTTCATTTGCACAGGAGCGGAGCAGCTACGGGGTGACCAGTTTGCTATGAAGCTGAAACTAACATTATCATTGCTATTAGAAGCAAATGACTTGACCACTCCGCCACGGAGATATCCCCTGCCTAGATCATCAAGAGAAGTGGAAGGAAAGCTCAGGGAGTGGGAGACAGCCTACCGAGCTGCCAGAAGTGAGAACTGATGTCATGGCACTCAAATGACCGTGTACACACATATTGTACATACAGTGTACGCGCTGACCTTGGGCATATTTGGCTAAACTTGTATTTTATATATACAGACCAATCAAACGGGTGATGTGGTCAACATTATGCCGGCCATCTTGACCTCCCAGGACCGTACCTAGTACCCATTTAAGGTCAGGTAGACCTGGCAGCAGAGGTCAGTTTAGAAAAACAAAAAAATTTCTAGCCCCGTCAAGACCTAAACACACAATCTATCCAAACAGCATGTGAGCATCTAGCCGCTACATCAGGGCAGCCCCTCCAAATAGAAGAAAAAGCAACAAGTACACCAAACACAAAGTATACTTCAGCTACTAGCTACAACTAATGGCCTTGCTCACCTCATAGCATTCACAGTAGTTCTTGAGACAGCCGGATCGTTTACAATTACAGCCCTTATTGTGCCGCCTGCTTCCTTCAACATCTCTTCCTTTACCTGTAGAAGATGTCAGAAAACATAGCAATTAACGAGCCTACCTCAAACTTCTCAGGTCAAATATTACAGAAGAAATCCTGTGGAAAGTTCTGGTTGTTTGTCCATTTCTAGACTCTAGCCCTGTTCCAGAAACTGAGTGTTGTGTGCACATCTGTTTTACAGGTCTGACTCATTTGCATGCAGACTGTTGGTTCCTTACCTATCTGACTTTGAAGGAAGCTCCCATTTAGTCTAATCTTACAACATACTTTTGGGCAGGCAGTGAGTCTGTTCTTGTGTTTCCCCACAATCGGGCCCAGAATGCACATGGGAATTAACTAGCTTACGGATCTGTCTGAATTGATGCGAATATAGTCCTCACTAATCAATATTGCAGAATGAAAAACAAGTTAAACACACATTTAATTTCACCTTCTGTCCTCTATCCCCCAATGCAACATTAGCCCCTGAACGAACTCACATCAAGTCATCCTAACCTTTGGTATCACAGGCAGCTCACCTCCTATCTTTTAAACTTCACTCTAATTCCATTCTTTCCCGAAGTAGGTTCCGCTGTCCCATTGTGGGGCAAAACAAGCATAGACCCTCCACCTGCACAACAAGCATGTCATAAGAGGCGAATAATTGGGGGGTCTTCCTTCAAAGTAGGAGTGCATCTGAGTGCAGACGAAACCTCTCATTGGTTCAGCGGACAAGAAGGCGTTTACCAGCAGGCTCTGTGAAGTTTCGAGCAAGGCAGGGCACTTAAGACGCCTTGGTCGTCCACTGCACCTAGGTCCATTTCCAATTGTCTTGACATTGTCCTGCCATTGGATCAAAATGGACACAGGCGAGAGTGGGGTTGATGAATTGCACAACTCTTCCTCACTTAAATCCAAGTCCTTACGCAAGTCACTTTCATCCAGCTACCGTTCTGGATGGCGTACGTCCCACAGACATGGTGCATCGGCCTGCCAGGCAGCAGAGTTTGCACGGGCAGAGAAATGGAGGCAGACTAGAAAGAATCGTACTGATAATCCCACACTTACTGTGGCTTCCATCTGTTGTCCGCACTGCTCAAGAACTTTCCTGGCTCATATTGGACTAATCAGCCACCTTCGTACACATAATCATTGATCTACTTTGGATGAAAGTGGTCTTCATTACTCGTAATGGATGAACAACAGCAACATCTGCCTAAGAGGCGAAACCAACGGTCTGCATACAAATATGCAAGATCTGTAAAACGGATGCACACGCAAAACTCAGGTCTGGGAACAATAGTAAAGTCCAGAAATGGACAACAACTAGGTCTCTCCACCAGGGTTTGCAGCTGGTGAATGCAGACAACAACTACCTTCTTCACATTCTGTTTTTTTCTTGGACTATCAATGAACAGAACCCAAGTTACTGACGCACTCTGCTCCACTGGGAGGTTAAAATAGTTTTCATTTTGCCTACTCACGCAACAACTCACCTATTTTAGGATGAAATGCTTGTGGATTCCGATCCAGACATGACTTTATGGCCTTTGACCTTTCTTCTTCATGCTGCAGGTTATTGGCACAGCTTGTACAATTGCAGTTTTGACAAAATTCTCCGTTTGCAAAACAGTCACAGTATCTGAAACAGTCAACATCATGATTAAAGCTGCATAAATAGAAGCCAGTTTGATGAGAGTTCAGCTGAACAATGGAGGTGGAGGCGGTCTCTGCAGCTTTACGCTGGTTAGATAACATGATACACACACACTCATCATAAAAAAGACATAGAAAGCATGCTGAGGAAGCTGAACACAAGCATGCTTCATGCAGAGTGGTATGCTTCGCTTCCGGCGTCACGGGTAAGGAGCACCGTCTGGGTCTTTTCTCTGGGTCGTGTGTTGGGATAGGAACTGGCGGACTGACTGGCTGGTTCTGCACAACACGGAATACTGATGCATGATAAGGGTCTGTTCTTGTTTTTCCTATAATAGGGCCCTGGAACCCACACAATACTGTACTGATATTTCTGCTCGTAACAGAAAAATTACAAGTCTGCGCTTCCTTCTCTCTTCTTCTTCGTATCCCCCCAATGGGGCACAGGCCCTCAACCAACTCATGCCAAGTCGTTCTGTCTTTTTCTAATGCATGCAGGTTACCCCATGTCATCCCCATATTGTTTAACTTCACTCTCCAGCTCCCTTCTCCATGTGTTTTTTGGGTCTGCCTGTATTTCTATGCCCCTGTGGATTTCCCTGCAAAGACATTCTAGTTATCCTGTTCTTAGGCTTTCTCTCAACGTGTGTCCCTTCTTCACCTTTTAGTCCACTGAAACTTATTTAGTTCACTTTCAAAGCTCATCATTAGTAATTCTATCATACCATTTAATTCAATCTACTCTGCGCAGGCACCAGTTGAAGAATGTTCCTCATCCCAGATTCCACTAACCTGCCTAGTTGTTATACAACATGTCTACAGTTCATTATTGCCATCAATCAGCAGGCTATTTATATAATTTTACTCTCTTCACAGTAGGCCTGAAAGTCTCTCTGTTTCCAGCCAATCGTCTAGCACAGTGATTCTCAACCTCCCTAATGCGACAACCCTTTAATACAGTTCCTCATGTTGTGGCAACCCTTTAACTGAGTTCCTCATGTTGTGATGACCCTCTAACAGAAACACATGCAAAAATACAAAGTGCAGAAAAAGTTGTGAGGCAGTGGAACAGACACAAAAAACACACGTACACTCACAGGCATTAAACACATACACACAATCATAACACAATCACACACCTAGAGACACAACTCAATTAAAAAAAGAGAGATTTATATGCTATTACCCATTTATCTCACATTAATTACAACTGTAACAACATGAAACAATTAGATTTATATGCTATTACCCTTTTCTCTCACATTACTTACAACTGTAAACAACATGAAATAACCAGATTTATATGCTATTTCCCTTTTCTCTCACATTACTTACAACTGTAAACAACAAGAAACAATCAGATTTTATGCTATTACTCTTTTCTCTCACATTATTACCCTTTTCTCTCACACTATTACCCTTTTCTCTCACACTATTACCCTTTCTCTCACACTATTACCCTTTTCTCTCACACTATTACCCTTTTCTCTCCCATTACTTACAGTTTCAGACACTGAGATTTGGTACAATTGCATGGTTTCCTGGGTCTAGAGCCAGTAGCTTCTAATGTTGGCCTGAAAATAGAAAAGTTTATTTCAATTTAGAAAGGGGACAAAATATGTTTCTTCTTCTCCGGTGTTCGTCCTAAAAAAAAAAACTATTTTTAAAGACAGTTGTCAGGCTGGGTTTTGGTTTACAGCTAAATGTGAAATCTGTGCCTTTCCACCTAACACATTTGACTTAAATCTGCCCTTACCATCTTTTTGCCAGGTCATGCGGGTGTTCAAGGGAGCGAGCGTGCAGACTATCTTGCTGACACTGCAGTTGCTATGGCTGGCCCAGTACTGGACAGAAGTGATGTTATCAATGCCATGCGCTGCACTTATCGTACGGAGCAGCATGCCAAAGGACATGACTCCGTATCCATGTCTAGGCTAATGGACATAGGGGTGCAGCCTGGAGCCGCAAGAAATTAATATTTCCCTAAGGGGACAAGACATTTCATTAACCAACACAGAATAGGTGCATCAGTTGTTTTACACTTGTGGAGCTTTTGAGGAGGAGATCGGAGCACCTACAGATCTGTCTAGAGCACTGTGATGATAATCCTTTCTAAACACTAATTATACAGGGTTCGTAGCCAAATTTACCAATCAATTTCAAGGATTTTCAAGGTCTTTTTCAAGGTCTCCTTAGTTTTTTTCAAGGTTGTCTCGGTGTAATACTGAAACAAGATTTTTGCCTTGTTCAAGGGTGTACTGAGCACACAATGTACTTCATTTGTGCCACATGTGTTGGTATACCAGCACATATATCATCATCATGTAGCATTTCCTTTGTCCTGACAAAAAAACCTCGGTCTCTCACCAGCTCTTCCGTCTCATGTACTTTTTTATACTCAAGGAGTCACTTATATCCTGTGCCCATCTTCGTGTTGGTCGGCCCCTGAGCTTGATATAGTGGGGTTGTTTTAGGGCTTGGTGGTAGAGGGCAGCAAACTGAAGTCCTGTCTATAATTTATATTTGATTTCGACAAACCCTTGATTAGCCGCATTTTATGTCATGCTTGTTAAAGGGGCAGTGGGTCTATTCTTTCTTCTTCTGCTCACTACTTTTCAATGTCTCTGATATTTATGCATGGTCAACAAATGGCTCTATTACCGACGTATAAATATATAACATTGCTCTCTGTGCTGCCCTGTCTAATGCCAGTCTTGTGACATGGCCAAACATCTCATGGGGTAATAGAAGGTCATGGGGTAACAGCAGGTCATGGGGTAACAGCTGGTCATGGGGTAATAGCTGGTCTTTGGGTAACAGCAGGTCATGGGGTAATAGCAGGTCATGACAAGTTATTACTCCATGACTGCTTATACCCCCATGACTTGCTAAAATACCCCATGACTTGCTAAAATACCCCATGACATGCTTATACCCCATGACCTGCCAATACCCCCATGACATGCTAAAATACCCCATGATATGCTATTACCCAATGACATGCGAATACCCCATAACATCTATCACCAAAGCTTACAGAAAAAAAAACCCTCCTAAATCCTATTTTGAGGTACTATATTCATATCCTGGCCTATTAAACACTATGCAGTGCATAGAGAACCAATGGAATTTACACACATTTTCTGAGATCAGGTCACAGCAGAAAGGCCTTCATGTCACCATTTGTGGGGCTGTGTCACAACCAGAAGTGACTAGATTATTACAGTCTTCTCGTGGCTACAGGGTTGCCCCAAAATAAAAACTGCCAAAAACTGCCTTTATTATAACCCTTTGGCGGTGTAAGCAGGGAGGTCTTTGAGCCTAAGAATTTACGACCGCACGGCTAGTGCTGTCGCCACGATTGTGCGGGTAAGGATTTTTTTTAGGCCCTCGACAGAACAAATCCCGGCCTTACCGAGGATTCCAACTCAAGTCTCCTGCTCGAGAGCCTAGGGTTTTAACCATTCAGCCAGCCGCTCCTCGGCTACAGGGTTAAAGGGCACAGTCAGTTATACTCAGCTGTCAATAATGATTTGACAACAAGTCAGCAAGAGAACAGGTGGGAAAGACAACCAAAAACAAGAAACAGGGAAAGACCATTAAGGAGCAGATGTCAAGCCATACCCGTTCTGACTGGGAACATTTCTGGAAACTGTGTACTGTGTGACAACTGGATCTATGCTTGCGATGGGGACATAATCTCTGCTCTGTCTGGATGGTGGCGGAGAAGCTGAGCCCTGGGCCACTTGTGGTTTGTTGAGCTGGTGTTGGATCTGGGGGAAAATGGTCATTCTAGTCAGGTGAGATTGGTACAATCTTAATCCGCAACTATATTTTAAAAGGTAAAGCACAACTACATCTTAAAAGGTGGTAAAGTACAACTATGTTTTAAAAGGTAAAATACAACTATATTTTAAAAGGTAAAATACAACTATATTTTAAAAGGTAAAATACAACTATATTTTAAAAGGTAAAATATCAATTATATTTTAAAAGGTAAAATACAACTATATTTTAAAAGGTAAAATACAACTAGAGCAGCGGTTCTCAACCTGTCATTAGCGACCCCTTTTTTGGGGGAGTCCAAGGACCGCTTCACAGAGGTCACCTAAGACCATCGGAAAACACACATTCATCGAAGTTATGAAGTGGTAATGAAAATAATTGTATGGTTGGGGGTTGCCACTGAACTAGAGAGACTCTAATATTGTTTCGTTTGCTAAAAAAATGAATTTGAATGAACGTGTTTTAAAAAACCATAATTAGCGAAACAGAGTATTTTCGTCTTGGAAGTTCGGTGTGGTTTTGTTGTGTGCAATATATGGGTATATGAAAGGAAAGTTCATAATTGAACGTAAAACTTGGTGCGGTGCAGCACACAGTGAACGGATGGTGAAGAGAGAGAGAAAAACGGTTGGCTCCAAGTCCCCGGAGAGGAAGGATGTAGGTTCTAGTCTGGGTGTTGCCAGACTAGTCCTGCACACCCGCATGTTACGCTGGCGTTAGGTGTCCAGGCTATCGGCGAGAGACGCCGCAGTGGCCGGGCCAGCGTGACATAAGCTCGTGTGGTGAGATGGGAGATCTCAAGTACGTGTCAGGCCGCAGACGGAAGGTCTGGATAATCTTCACAAGGTATTGTGCATCGGCCTGTATGATTTTTCTAGTGACAGTGTACCCAAGGGATGGGTGTCATAGAGATAGACACGTAATCACGAGTAATGGGTTTGCACGAGCAGGTAATGTTTGCTCGTAGTTGACCACTGAACAGAGTGACAGTAGAAGTCGTCCAGAGCGTCCTGAGTGTGCGTCGCCTTGATAAGGAGAATGACTGTGGCAGTAAAGAAATTCATGTGGATTCATTGTCTTGGTGTTTAAACACATTAATTATGTTTTGACGTTCAACATGTATCCGGTGTCTTTTATTGCTATTGGGCGGGAGTGGTGACTTGTAACTGTAACACTATTGAGCATACCTGGATACTTTGCAAGTGTGCGGTGTATCAAGCGAACATTTCGCACGCGTCAGGTGTTAAGATAACCTTCTCATTTGTTTTAAATTATTTAGATGTGATACAGTCTTCATGTGATTTTTCTATCCCGAATGATAAGGGAAAGGGTCTAGAACTATATTCTACTCTCTCGTTGATGAATCTCAACTAGAAAGTGACAATAGTCTTGATATTATGACTGATAATGCAAGTGACAAAGATACTAGTTATAATATAGGTTGCTGTTGTTCGTCCATCACGAGTGATGAAGATCACTTTCAACCAAAGTAGTAAAGATCAATAAATATGAAAATGAAGGTGGCTGATTAGTCCAAGATGAGCCTGGAAAGTTCTTGAGCAGTGCGGACAACTGGTGGAAGTTGCACTAAGTGTGGGATCAGCAGTACGATTCTTTCTAGTCTGCCTCCGTTTCTCTGCCTGTGCAACCGCCGCTGCCTGGCAGGCCGATGCATGAGGGACGTTCGTCATCCAGAACGGCCTGTGCAGCAGTCTCCCAACTCGCTGAGGGCAGTCTTGAGAGTGTCCTTACAGCGCTTTTTCTGTCCTCTTTTCTGTCCTCCTATCAATGGACAGCGACCATATGGCCGGGGCCGCTTGCGTGCAGGTCTGCGCCTACGGCTGCTTTGTTGCTCGCCCATCGCCACAGGACTTGAAAATGATTGATGATAATGATGATAGCCGGATGAAAGTGACTTGTGTAGCGCAATTTTTCGACCTCACTCTCTCGCCTGTGTCCATCTTGATTCAATGGCAGGAAAATTGTTGAGATGACTGGAAACAGACTTAGGTGCTAATATAGGTTGAAAAAATATACTTTAAAAGGTAAAGCATAGGTCCCTTTACATGCCAGAAGTGCAAAATATGGACCACAAACATACAACAGAGACTTTCATGTTTTTAAATCCATTTAATATATCTAAATAGGAAGAAATATCTTTCCTGTTTTCTTAGCTTTGCTCAACACGTAGATCTGAATTAAAGAAATACAACCCCCCCTTTTTTAAACCCTACTCAATACATCCCAATGTGAAGAAACGTGATTTTTCTTTGTGACTCCGTAGTGGTTAGTGACTAGAAAAGATTATCATCTCAGTACTCCGGACAGATCCATAGGTGCTCCGATCTCCTCCTCAAAAGCTCCACAAGCGCAAAACGACTGATGACGCCTGTTCTGTGTTGGTTAATGAAACGTATTGTCACCTTAGTAAAATGTTTATTTCTTGCAGCTCCAGGCTTCACCTCCATGTCCATCAGTCTAGACAGGGATATGGAGTCATGTCCTTTGGCGTGCTCCTCGGTACGGTAAGTGCATGGCATTGATAACATCACTTCTGTCCAGTACTGGGCCAGCCATAGCAACCGCAGTGTCAGCAAGATAGTCTGCACGCTCGTTCCCTTGAACACCAGCATGACGTGGCACAAAGATGAAGGTTAGGGCAGATATTCATGAAGTGCTAAGTGTTTCAATCCATTCTTGCCTAATAAATTCAGCTTGGATTTTTTAAAGCATATTCATCGAGTCACTAAGAAAGCTTACCTAACTTTTGAATAGCAAGCCACGCTAAAGCCCTTGTTACAGCCATAGTTTCCATTGTGACTTCGTATTTTTATGCAAACAACATTAACCCCTCCCACATGTATTACCTGTGCAATGTAGGCGGGCACAAGTGCAAAGCTCTGCATGCCCTGGATGTTGGTGTTTGCGGCAGACAAGATGGTGGCCCCCGCGGGCAGCTGGCTCATACCCTGTATGGCTGTTATTGGTGCAGAGGGTGCCGGCTGAATAGGAACCAAAGTGCTCATTGTGTTGCCCCGGACACTGCCTGGTGTAGAGGTGGCTGGGAGAAGGATGTGGTGGACGCCCTGCTGGGAACTAATGCTGACAGGTACAGAGGCTGGTTTGGGTGCCTGCGGATTAAATACCACCTGTACGACTCACTTTTATATCATCGATGATTTTACGCACATTTATGGCATCAATAGTTAAACGTACATTTATATCACAGAAGGTTTGTTTCACATTTATGTCATCAATGGTTAGACTCACATTCATTTCATCAATGGTTTAACTCATATTTATATCAACACCGGTCTGTGACTCATATTTATATCATGAATAGTTGAAATGACATTTATATCTATATCATTAACAGTTTCATTCACATGTATATCATCAATGGTTTCACTCACATTTTTATTATATATTTTTCTCCACTGACTTTTATATCATCAGTGGTTTGAATCACTTTTATACCTATATGATCAACAGAACCCCAATACGTTTATCATTCATATACCGCTTGCACACACTTCTTCTTCTTTTCTTCTTCGCGTTCACCAGCTGTACACTCTTGCGGAAAGTTCTAGTTACTCGTCCACTAGTGAAATACAGTCCTGCTCCAGAACCTGATTTTTACAGATCTCATTCTCTTGAATACAGACTGTTGGTTCCTTGCCTCTCCGGCAGATGCACTCTGACTTCAAATTAAGCTCCCCAATTAGCCGACTCTTACGACATGCTTTTGGGGAGGCAGTGAGTCTATTCTTGTTTTCCCCATAATGGGGCCCGGAAACCACACGGGGGGCACAAACTTCTATATTGTGACAAAGGCCGACCTTAAAGTTTTCCACCCATCTGTAAATCACCATATATCCCAGCATGGGTTCTGGGGCTCTATTAGATGGAAAACAAGAACAGACCCACTGCCTACCAAAAAGCATGTCGTAAGAGTCGGCTAATTGGGAGCTTCCTTCGAAGTCGGAGTGCATCTGCCTGAGGAGCAAGAAAGCAACAGTCTGCACACAAATGAATCAGATCTGTCAAACTGATGCACACGTAACACTCAGGTTCTGAAACAGGACTGCAGTCCAGAAGTGGACGAAAAACAAGAACTTTCCGCCGTAGTTTACAGCCGGCTAACTCAGTAAAGAAGAAGAAGAAGAATCAACATAGAAGATATCCTTAGGACTCTACCACTCCATTCTATAAGCATGACCCAGCAAGATGAGGGTTCGGTGATCAAGCAGTGAGAAAACTCTTGTGATACCGACTTTTTCCAATACCTCAGTGTTTGTGATCTTGGCATCTGTTTCTTCTTCTTCAGCATTCGGAACCCTTGATGTTCACTGCTGCAAATATCACCCGCCTTTATTCATCTCTCTTGCTGGCCTTTCTTTCCCCAGTTGGTGACACCAAGTGTTTGCAGCTCTCCATCGCCTTCTTGGTCTGCCTCATGGTCTACGACCATTCATCTCCCTTGTGTATACAGTGATCAATTATCTGTCATCTGACATTCTCCCAATACACCCCAACCATTTCAGTCTATTAGTTCTCATGATGCCAGTTATCAATGGTGATTGAAACAGATTATGAATTTCATTGTTGCTTCTCACTCTCCATTCCCGACTGTTTGCATATCTGATGGGTCCACTCTGTTTTCAAAAACATGAAATAAGGCTTCATCTCTTTCAGTTGTGCTTTAAGTTTCAGAGTCATATAGAATGACTGGTCTTATCCACATTTTAAATATTGGCACTTAGCGCCAAATATTCTTAGAGTCACGCGTGAAAGCTATTTGTCCTGGTGCAAATTATCTATCGCCATGTTGAATTTAAAAACGGAACAAAAACAAAAGAACATAATTTACAGCATAAACTAAACATTTCTAAAATCTGATGAATTTCAAAACTGCAATGTGGCAATCTTATCAGTCTGTTAGCAAATGTGTATCAGAACTATGGATACATTCTCTTATTCAGTTTCCTTTGAGGTGTATGTCACACCATATTTGACCCTCCTGTAACAGCCGCAGTACCCAGATTGTGCAGAAAGAAAATATTCATAGAAATGTGTAAAAAAAACCAAATAATATATCAAGGGTATTACTGCAACTTTCAGTCCCACAACGTCCTAGCTAATGTCCGAGGGAGTCACCACAGGCAATACTAAACTAATTAGGTATACGTCTTCCAGAAGAGTCCAAATTTGCAACCCTTGCAGGAATCAAATACGTTGTCAGGATTCTTCACCGTCCCTCACTAAACATAAGATGTAAAAACATATGCGACATGTTAACTAGTACATGTCCATAATACTAAATGACAGACAAATGTGACATTTGGGACGAAATGAGTTTTAAAATATTCTATAAGACAGAAAGTAATTCTTCTTCTTTGTTCACCATCTGTGATCTCCGGCAGAAAGTTCTGGCTGTTCGTCTATTTATACCTCGGCTTTGTGCTAGGGTGTCAGTTTTGCGTGCACATCCATTTTACTGGCTTATTTGTGTGCAGCTGGCTGTTCCTAGCCTGACCGGGCAGATGCACTCCCGACTTTGAAGAAAGTCCCCAAATAGTCGATTCCTACAACATTTTTGGGGGGCAGGCAGTGGGTCTGTTCTTATTCCCCCCCCCCCCCCCCCTTCCCCTACAACAGAGCCCGGAATCCACAGGGGAAATCACAGATAGTGCATTGTTTGGGACAAAAAGAGTTAAAATTATCTGAGACAAAAACTACTGAAGGAAACACGTTAAAAAAAATAAAGTATGTACCAAAGGTGTCCTCTGCTGGTGATACGGGAGAGTTATCTTGACTTGGTTCCCACTGGAGACTGGGGCCGCAGACAAGGAAAAACTATTGCTGTTGGCCTGGGTAACATGTACGTTTTCTTTGGCCGTGGCTTTTGCTGTCGTCACAACAGAAAAATTCCAAATTACAAACATGTTAGACATTATAAATACATAAAATAATAATAAATGTTCTGAGAGACGCACGGGTTGAAGCCCAGTTTACAGGCCTCCAACTAAATTACCAAAAAAAGCGGAGTTCATACTAAAGACAGCAGTGCAGATATAAACAATTTATTTCAACTGAATGAAAGAAAAAGAATAAATGTTAAACATTATAAAACTATTATTATTCTTTATCCTGTTTCTCTTCCTCCAACAGAGCATAGGCCCTCAACCAACTCACAAAAAATCTCATCTCCTGCAGCTCCTTACCATATTATTAATCTCTGTTACTAATTCAACTAGAACACAACTGCAAGGAACGATAGACATTAATGTAACAGAAAATCAAATTTAGCAGCTTAATTTAACAACCTAAATCTAAAAAACATTATCATCAAGTGCCTTGAAAACTGGTGTGGTTGACCATGCCTCTGCAAAATCTGCGATCTTCTGCCTCTTCTTCTTTTCTTAACTCCTAGAATGCTTTGCATCTTCTGGGCAGGAAGAGGACTCTAGAACGGACCTTTCTGGTTGCTTCATATAAAGTACTTTTCAGTGTCTCTTATATTTCTGCGGTCCATCTTGTGCGTGGTCAACCACTGGCTCTGCTACCTCTGAATCTGTGGTGCCCTATCTGATGCCAATCTTATTACATGGCCAAAGCAGGGTTATTTAACTGGAGGCCGTTCTGTAGAAAAGAGAGACTGGGTCATCTGGGATGGCCTAGACCAGGGTTATTTAACTAGAGGCTGTTTTGTAGAAAAGAGAGACTGGGTCATATGGGATAACCTAGACCAGGGTTATTTAACTGGAGGCTGTTCTGTAGAAAAGAGAGAGTGGGTCATCTGGGATAACCTAGACCAGGGTTATTTAACTGGAGGCTGTTTTGTAGAAAAGAGAGACTGGGTGATCTAGGATAACCTAGACTAGGGTTATTTAACTGGAGGCTGTTCTGTAGAAAAGAGAGACTGGGCCTTCAGGGATAACCTAGACCAGGGTTATTTAACTGGAGGCCATTCTGTAGAAAAGAGAGACTGGGTGATCTAGGATAACCTAGACCAGGGTTATTTAACTGGAGGCTGTTCTGTAGAAAAGAGAGACTGGGCCTTCAGGGATAACCTAGACCAGGGTTATTTAACTGGAGGCCATTCTGTAGAAAAGAGAGACTGGGTCATCTAGGATAACCTAGACCAGGGTTATTTAACTTCAGGCCGTTCTGTAGAAAAGAGAGACTGGGTCATCTGGGATGGCCTAGACCAGGGTTATTTAACTGGAGGCTTCTCTGTAGAAAAGAGAGACTGGGTCATCTAGGATAACCTAGACCAGGGTTATTTAACTTCAGGCCGTTCTGTAGAAAAGAGAGACTGGTTTATTTGGGATAACTTAGACCAGGGTTATTTAACAGAGGCCATTCTGTAAAAAAAGATAGACTAGATAATCTGGGAAAACCTAGACCAGGGTTATTTAACTGGAGGCTGTTCTGTAGAAAAGAGAGACTGGGTCATCTGGGATAACTTAGACCAGGGTTATTTAACTGGAGGCCGTTCTGTAGAAAAGAGAGACTGGGTCATCTGGGATAACCTAGACCAGGGTTATTTAACTGGAGGCTGTTCTGTAGAAAAGAGAGACTGGGCCATCTGGGATAACCTAGACCAGGGTTATTTAACTGGAGGCCTGGACAGGTCTAGCACATGGCCCACAGATCATTGCCAGTTGTATTGTTCTAAAGATCTTTCTTCCCCCGGCCCATGATGATACCCCTTTCAACATCGTAGCTTCTAAGTAAACTAGCTGTATAGCCCCGACCTAGGCCAATGAAGAAGATCCTTTCCACTTATTTACAGTTAACATGGTTTTTCTTAGTCTTGTGTCCTGTCCAGTGCCAGCATCTGTCCCTCACCTCTTGATCTGCTGGAATTTATTAGTTTTCATCCTCAGATCTGTATTAGTGAGTATGTCCAACCACATCTGTCTTATTCTGAACAGACACCAAGTTAACAAGTGTATGTTTATGAACAACTGTTCCCCACGTGGGTCCCAGGGTCCCAATGTAGGGGAAAACAAGAACTGACCCACTGCCTGCTCAACAAGCATGTCCTAGGAGTCGACTATGGGAAGTGCATCTGCCAGAGCGCCAAGGAACAACCAACTGCGCACACAAAAAAGCCAGTAAAACGGATGTACACACAAAACTCAAGCCCTGGTACAGAGCCAAAGTCAAAATTGACAACAACCAAGACTTTCCACCGAAGCTTACAGCCGGTGGAAAAAGAGAAAGATTAATAATTGTTCCAGTTATTACCCATCTTTCTTATCTACACAGCACAACTGATTTGATCGTAGTTACATATTTTAAATCTAGTGCTCTACATATCTAGTCTTCTACATGTGTTTAGTGCCAGGAAAGTTCTTCTTGTCTTCTGTAATCTCTTTTAACTTCTCAAACCGGTCCCATATCTGTGCCTGCACAGTGACTGTGTATGATGTGTCTGTTGGGTATGTGTTGCATCTGTGAGTGTATGTGTGCGTGTTCCTGTGTATGTTTTGTCTGTGTGTTGTGGCTGTATTTGCTGTGCCTGTGTGTGTATCTTGAAAATGTATGCAATGTGTCTGTGAGTGTTATGTCTGTTGTGTTTGTATGTGATGTGTCTGTATGTGTTGTGTCAGTATGTGAATACTGTGACTGAGTGAGTGTTATTTTTAGCCTCAGTGTGTTTATGTCTGTACGTCAGTATCGCCTATATTTCTGCATTGTGCAAGCATTTTTTATCGTATATTTAAGGGTATGCCAATATATCCACTCTTTTGTAATTTTACTTCCTATTTACCGCAGTGTGAAAGATGAATCTATGGTAGGGCCCAGTGTAAGACAGGCCTGCATGCCCAAATTGTGACCATGGCCTGACTGCGAGAATAGCAAGTTATATGGGGTGTGGCCAAACAACAGCACTATGCAGGAAGCCAGAAAAGAATAAGAAACAAACACAGAACTGGTGTCGTCAGGCGCTACAGACTGCAGGACTGACTGAGAAGGGGACCTTAGCACATATGGACTGAATGGTTTGATCTACAATGATAATACAGTGTCCTTTCTTCTTCTTCTTCTTCACCAGCTGTAAACTCGGGCAAAAAGTTTTGGTTGTTCATCCACTTTTTGACTGCAGTCCTGTTCCAGAACTTGAGTTCTGCGTGTGCATCTGTTTTACAGATCTGACTCCTTGGTTTGCAGACTGCTGGTTCCTTGCCTCTCAGGCAGATGCACTCCGATTTTGAAGGAAGCTCCCAATTAGTCGACTCTTGACACATGCTTTTGGATAGGCAGTGGGTCTATTCTTGTTTTTTCTAAAAAAAAAAGGGCCCCGGAACCCACACGGGGAATACAGCGTCCATTAACTACATAGACTAAACACTTGTAACCACAAACCAGCAGGTATAATTCAAAACTCAACAAATACCTGCAAGTACAGATGCTTCACTGCCGCAGCTGTTGGCAGAAGAAACCAAGCGCACATAGTGAAATCGACTGCCAGGGACTTGTATCTGCCTGACTGACCCTGCGTTGCTAACGGCAACACCCTGAACACTGTGAGAAAGTTGTGGAGCTCTGACACCTTGAACTAAATGGGGAGCTCTGATTGGCTGTGCAGACTGTGAGGTCATAGTGTGACCCCTCAAGGTGAAGGACTGGCTTGTTGGCTAGTAGATCAATTTAAATAAAAACCACAAGATTAGTGAAATCATCATCATCATTGCCTTCTGTACTGGTAAAAATCAAATAAGTCCAGTCCTCCATTTTGTTCTATTACGCAAGTTTTTGTAGTAAACGAGTTCTTTTCTGCTTTTTGACCTCATCTTGGAGGCTCCAAGATCTTCTTTTCTCTACTCCTAAAATGCCCTGCGGCGTCAGGGTAGAAAGAGATCTCTGGAACCAGCCTTTCTGTTTGCTTCGTATAAAGTACTTTTTAGTGTCTCTGATATGTCCGCAGTCCATCTTCTGAATGGTCAACCTCTAGGTATGTTTCTGCTGTATCTGTTAACAATACTCTCTGTGGTGCTTGTAGGGAATACTTGGGGAATTCCCCAGAATGTACTATAGTATAGAGGAATTAGGATTAGTGTAAGTAGTGTTATTTAACACTAACCCTAAAACAGTAAAACACCTATATTTTAGAGGTGTCATATGAAAGGCAGAAGTAAAACAAAGTTTTATCGTTCGCTAGAATGATGTATATGTTTTGCAAAGGCAAAAGGTAAAGTCGGGAGATAAGATATTGTGCCTTTTAGCCGACACATCCAACTTCATCGAGAGGCATGTGGCTTTATCTTTGTGGTTGTTCCCATTGTCCCCTTTACAAATCTTGCTCGTGGAGACCCTGTCCAGGGTGTCGGTGTGTAGACAGGTCGGCCCTCAAGGGAAGGATAGGGCAGATAAGGGGCATTCCAGCCATTCAAGGAGGCTTCTATAAATGCAGAGCCAACACATGATGCTCTGGTCCTGGGCTCAACCAATGAATCGACACATCCTGCACATGTCTGCTTAATCTCACATCCATATGTTGAGCTTTTTCAATCTCTCGGGTTGTGCCCTCCACACGAAGCTGCCTGCAGGTCAGAGATATCGATGGCTACATTTTTCTTTGGCATGTTAGACATCTTTAATGTTGTTTCATGTGCAAGCTTAGCAAGACAGTATGGCAAAAGCATGCATCCGACATGGCTCTCTCTTTTAGGTCACACTCCCTGGCGAGTGGTGCCAATGGAAACGGGCATGTGAACCTTTCTGTCAATCAGGCTTTTTTTTTTTCAGTCAGACATCCAGGACTTTGTTGCTATGCCATAGGACATTAATCAGACGGACATTCAAACTAAACCAGCACAGTCTAAATGCTGAATTAAGAATCAACATTACAGCATTTGGGACACTTCTATAAGTGCTCCGTCTCCCATCTTCAGCAGCAAGCAAAGAGTTCCAATTCCGGTGGCACCAGTAGCCGTCCGTCTGTATATCCGTCTCATCCTTCCCCTGAGTGTCGAGCACTGGCCACATTCCCTGGTAACTCCTCACAGCCCCATTCTCCTCAGACCGTAATGATCTATCTGCGCATCTGCACTGTGTGCTCATTCCCACAGGGCCCTCACAATATCTAGCTTGTCATTCATCAATTCACCACCTATTGGTGCAGAACCGGCCAGTCTATCTTACTGTTTATTTCCCAACACACTGGCATAACCTGGAGAAAAAAATCCAAAATTCCCAGCAGTCTGCAGTGGTGTAACCCAACTCAGTGACTGTGACGCTGCGGAAAAGCAAGGGATATTTCAAGACAGGGCTGTTCCATGAGTACCCAGTCACAGAAAAATATTTTTGGGCTGAATCTCAGCAGTACAGTAGTTCTTCCCACTCTTCAGATATTTTAACCGAGGGTTGTTATTAGAAGTGTTTTCGACTAGCAGACTTTACCCATGTTCCAAATGGGCTTTGATTAAAAATGTCCACCCATGTGTTGGCTGATGAGAGCGAGACGGGACATTACATCTCTAGAGGCCACCAACTCCAAGATCCCCTGCCAGCTCAGTTCAGGTCATATAGGTGCGCCCTTATCCATGTCGCAAGTGAGGCAGGAGTCTTGCGTGAGGATCCTTAAAACCACCCAAGAGCCGGCTGGTGCCTAAGGTGACATACAAGGTAACTCCTTACACACATCACAATCACTAGTGCCCTAACTTTCTCTCACACCAACAATTTATATCACGCCATATTAAAAGAAATAAAAGGCAGAAGTAAAATAAATAAATAAAAGGCAGAAGAAAAAAGAATGAAAGGCAGAAGAAAAAAATGAGAGATGAAGGTAAAAAAATGAAAGGCAGAAGAAAGAGAAATGAAAGGCAGAAGTAAAACAAATGAAGGGTAAAGATAGGACAAATTAAAGGTGGAAGAAAAAGAAATAAAAGGCGGAAGAAAGAGAAATAAAAGGAAGAAGTAGAAGAAATGAAAGGCGAACGTAAAAAAAATAAAAGGCAGAAGAAGGGTAAACGGAACAAATATGAAAACAACAAGTACTTACCGCTGGACCTTGCTTGATAATTACCTTGGAGGTGGCGCCAGGATTTAATGGATTATTGCCGTTGGAGGCTATCGTGTTCAGGGCATGAGATAAAATTGTTATGTTTGAACTTAACGTCTGTTTGTTCGGTGACCGCGAAACAGGAATCATGGTCACACCAGTGGGCGAAGTAGACATTTTGTGATAGGGAGCACCGATCTTCACCGGAGACAAGTTACTTTGAGATGTCGGTGCCATTGTGTAGACCTGCTGCTGGCCTCCCATTTTTAAATCAGCATCACTTGATAACGAGGTCAAGGTGAAGACCTGCTGAGTCCCTACTGGGACTGCCTGCGTCTGGCCAGTCAGCGGGGCTTTGGTAAAAATCACCTTAGTGATAACATTGTTGCCCGACGATAGCAGAGGCCGTTTGATCGCTGTCCTTTCAACTGCAGCCTTGTCCCCAAGCAGGGTTGCTGCCGTTGACACGTTTGCTTCGGTCAGAGGTTTTTGTTTCAATACAATGTGATTGTTGGAGAAGGAGGTTCTATTATTCATCAAGTCTGAGGCATTGTTGACAGTTTTAAGGGGCTGCTGGATAAGGTATTGCCCATTTTGATTGTTAACTGTTAGGAAATTAACCGAGGGATGCATAGAAAATACCCTTCCTGTGGTCGCTACTGACGTATCTGATAGTAGTGGAGATGTTACAATATTTGATCCAGCATTCAACTCCACTGAAGGATTAGCTATGACAGTTTCCGATGCTGATACAATCTCCATTTTGGCAGATCACAGTGAATGTCTTCTTCGCTGGAAAAGCATTTCAGTTGGTTTCATGAACTGAAAGTAGGAAAAAACCAAATATAAGATAAATAATACACAACATGAATATGCCGTATTCATGTATGTTGAATGAAGAATTCTTCTTCGCATTCACCAGCTGTAAACTCTGGAAAGTTCTGGTTATTGATCCACTTCTGGACTGCAGTCCTGTTCCTGAAACTGAGTGTTGCGTGTGCATCCGTTTTACAGATCGGACTCATTTGTATGCAGACTGCTGGTTCCTTGCTTCTCAGGCAAGAGCACTCCGACTTCGAAGAAAGACCCAATTAGTCAACTCTTACGACATGCTTTTGGGTAGGCAGTAGGTCTATTTTAGTTTTCCCTACAATAGGGCCCCGGAACCCACAAGGGGAGACTGAAGAACTGACATCACAACACTCGGACACTCCCATAAGCACTATGTCCTCATCTCCAGCAGCAAGCGAAGAGTTCCAATTTTATAGCACCTGCAATAGTAGGCAGTGCAAACATATATTGCATACATACTACCAGGGTGTCCCTTTTGTGACGTGCGGAAGCTTGGCGTACAGTGTGACATGCTGTAAAGGCTGCGTGGTGATGTGTAGCGTACCAAAGGTGAATAAGGACTTCCAAACGTAGCTGAACGAGAACTCCCTTTAAAGGTTCCAACGGGTGTATTGATATATACAATGATCAACAGAAGAAGAAAATATGCAATTAATAATCTAGACTCATCCAAGCACACCAACACAAGCCGCTCGTTCATCCATGGACTGATAAATTCTCACGACGGGTCGCAGTCCGACCTTGAGATCCAGACAGTCATCTCTATCTTTTCTTCCGCAGTCTGAACAAGGTAATAGAAGTATACCGGCTTACTGCCAAACTGTGACAATATACCAGCTTTCTGCTGAGGTTTATAGTGCAGTCCCGGGGTAAAACGTCCTCAAGGATCCAACTTTATTCGTTTGCTTCCGTGGAATCCCGGGGTGAAGCGTTCTCAGGGATCCACATGTCCGTCTCCATCGGACTTAAAACATCAACTGCCTTTGACAACAATCCTTCAGGACGTTACGTATTGTTTTGATGTCTTATTTGCTCACTCAGTACTGGTGTGTTTTAGTGCACATCCGCATGCGACAGCAATTTTAATAGATTTTCAAGGAGAGACCAACACCGAAACAGTAATACCTGTAAGCAGCGAAAGACAGGCCGTTTTGTGTGTGTGTGTGTAGTATCCAGAAGCCATGAGTTGTTAACCCTTAGGCTCGGTGTGATGGATATCACAACCCTTCTGCCTTCATTCTATGATAAATACCGTAAATCTAGAAGAAATGTGGCTTTTCTGCCTACCCCCGGGCGTGAACCCAGACCACAAGGAGTTCATCACCCAGTCACCACACAATCCGGTTTAGCCAACTACGCTAGCGAGCTGGACAATGGGCCATATAAGAGCAACTTACAGTTGCAAATTCCAAACTGCATGTAGTCCTTTATCTACAAGTAAACTGAAAGTCAATTATGGCTTGGCAAGGCGCTTTATGGCACAAAATGTCCTTGTGATTCAGCTGTGGACAACAGTGGCGCAGCAACGTCCCAACACCAACTAAGAGAAACTGTTTTGTTTAAAATATATGTTTTGAAGATATAGAAGAGACATAAGAAAAGCATGGGGGCAATTAGAAACGAAGATGAAACTTCTGCTAATTAATCAATTTTAAACAAGTCACATGTAGACCTAATATCTTAAATATAAGCCGCACCATATTTTTCATCAACCATTTTTGGTTAAAATACTGGGACACATACATGCGCCTTGAAAGCCCAACCACAAGTTTTCGCCGTGAGAGTTGGTAACAGGATCAAGTAGAGGATTGTTAGGAGTGGGTGAAGTATGGTGTGGCCTTGAGCCACGGGACCGTTACGGTAGCCATGAAGGCCATCCTGGGTCACCCCAAAACGCCCTGGCCAACAGGGTTCTGGTGAAGTTGTGACAGGCCTAGCAAGCCAGCAGTGGATTTAATACCGCTACAACAAGTACAATGAGATATAAACGGAATCTGACGAAGGCAATGTTTAAGGACTATGAAAGATAACATCAGAGAAACTCTACAGCACCATGTGTCTATGGTCGAAGCAGCCAGAAGAGCATGAAGCAGGACCTTATATCTCCCTCTACACATGCAGTGGTAAAAGAGGAAGTAAAGAAGAGAAGGAGAAGACCTATAGGTACATAAAATATGGTACAAATGGGGAGCCAATGTAATTTCAAAAGTATCGATTACATCTTTATTAGTACGGTTAATGCATAATGTCGTGTACTGGCTAGGTTAGATCCTTCAGGTGTGGGCCTTGGTAAATGCTATGTAGGTTCTGATATTCAGGGCCCCAAATATGCCATGTTGCCATCGCTTGCATGGTCAACCTCTAGGTCTACTTCCATTGTGCCTATGTGATAGGGCACAATCTGGTGGCAGTCTTGACACAATACTAAACCATTTGATATGTGTGTGTTTTTTTTCAAGTAGTTTAGTAAGCATACTGCAGTAATGGTTGATTAAAATTAAGCAAATAAATGAATCCAGTTAGTCCAGAATTCTGCATACAAAAGAACATACTCTTCGCCTTACATTTACCCTGTGAAACAGAGTTTTTTAATGTAGTCGATTTTGCGCTATGGTTCAAAGAATTAATTTAATTGGTTCGTTTTAATCCATTGCTACTTTAGTATCCACCTGACAAGATGCGGTGAAATATAAATTAGGAAATATTTAGTTTGTCTTCTTTGTTCAGATTAACAGTGTGGAAACATTGCTTTAATGTTTAAATTATAGTTGGGACAGAACCAAAAGGACGAGATAAGTGAAATATGCCAGACAATAAATTGTGCAATCTTTTGTTTGTGTCTTCTTTATAATATAAACATACAAATTCACCAGCTAGTTTTACCTGAAAGATACTAAAGCAGGGCAAGATGTAGAGACCTAACCATGGCTCCTCGACTGCCTATCTACAGGCACAACCCAATTGCCGCTCATGTGACGTTGTTTGGGGCTAAACTAGATGGCTGGGACTCACGAGCAGCAGCTACCGCATCTCCTGCAGCTTCCTTCATTTATTTTGCTCATGAGTCCTAGCCATCTAGTTTAGCCCCAATCCACGTCGCATGAGCGGCATGGGGGATACTCTCGGCGGTGGTGGAAGTTCGCAATTCGGCAGTCGGGTTAGTCCCCAGGAGTGCGCAATTGACACGTGACTGAGGCCCTGTTAGGGTATATTTTCCGCCTCGATAATTAAGGACCGTTATTCGGAGGATAGCCAATATTTACTTAACAAAAACCCAACCTGTTAGTCTAAAACTCCTCATGTGGATTCCGGGACCCTTTAGTGGGGGAGGGGGGGAGAGAACAGATTCACCACCTCCCTAACAAGTATAATTGTTGTTTAATTAAGGGTCGCCTCTGAAGTCGGAATGAATCTGCTTGAGAGGCAAGGAATCAACAGTCAATACACAAAAAAGCCACATAGGTCAAAAATATAACTTTTATATGCACGCAAAACTCAAGTTCCAGAACAGGACTAGTAGAAGTGGAAACCACATAGTCTAAATGACAAAACACACCAATAAGGGTTGTTTTAAAAGAAACTAAATGAAGAAGAAGAGACCAGACTGTACTCACTGTACTTTCTTCTCTTCTTCAGTACTTCAACCCCTGAGGTTCACCAATGCCTGCCTCCATCCATTTGTATATGGACTTCTCAGCAGAGTAGCATGCTTCGCTTCAGAGGTCACGGGTAAGGAGCACTGTTTGGATCTTTTCTCCGGGCATGCCGGTGTGTTGGGAAATGAGGACGCGGACAGACTGTCTGGCTCTGCACAACTTGGTGACATATAGTCGCACAATAAAGCAGACGTGGTTAGAGCCTTGTGGGAGAACGTGTACAATTCAGAAGAGCAAATGGATCATCACAGACTGCTGAGAGTGATGCAGGAATCTGGCTGATACTTAACACTCAGAGGAAAGGCAAGATAGACGTATAATTAGAGTGCTACTGGCACAGTTGGTAATGGAACTCTGTGCTGGTGCTGAAGATGGGGACAGAACGCTTATTGGAATGCCCCGAGTACTGTGATCTCGGTTCTTGAATCAACTCAACTCTTTCTATTTTGTCCAAATGTACGCAGGTCTGCTAGGATATCATCTTTCCACCATATGCTTGGTTTGGTCTGTGGTCTACGGCCACTCAACTCTCTTATGTACACATACTGCCTCTAGCACTGCTGTCTACTCAGTGTACAGGACAAATGATTTGTATCTGCCTCCTTTTTTTAAACTAAACTGTTGGGGATCATTACTGGAGCTATGAGTTTGTGCTTTGTGTTATGATCTCAACAGACACTTAGCCATTCTGTGGAGAGAGAACAAGCTATATGGGATGAATCCCGGTGCAATGATGTTGATCCTCATGACTTTAAACAAAGACAGGTACTTGAGTTTTAGTTTACCCTAAACAAAGCGGAGCCACCTTAGTTCCTAGAAAAGTCTAATATATTATGGTTATTGTTATGGGTTGAATGTGAGGTAAGGAGTAGGTGTCTCTGAAGCGGTCAGAGCTAACAAAGATCCTAAATCTCACGCCTAACGCCCCTAGAATATTGTGGGCTTTCCCATAAACTGAAGCATTTCCTTTGTTTGAGTTGAATTAAAAATAAAGCACCCAAATACCTGATATGTTAGTAACAACTGGCTTTCTATCATCATCCATAACAGGGCTATTTAACTAAGTTGGCTCAAGGGCCAACCTGTTCAAAAACAGGGCCCGTCACAGGCCAGAGCCTCAGCCTAGGAAGATCATAAATATAATACAACTAGAAGTGATCCGCGGGCCACTTGCTAGGCCTTGGGGGGCCAGATTTAGCCAGCGGACCGCCAGTTGTATTGCCCTGATCCTTGAGGTTTCAATAGAACTGCATC